GTTCAACCGAACAAACCGACCCTTCCTACCTGAAGTCAATTAAGTTTAGCCAGTCAAACCAGAAAGCAACCTGACGATAAACTCGTACATGTAAAATATCAGAAATATCCCAGTACGAAACCCTTTAAAGTAGGAGAAAAAAATCTAATGTTATTATTATGTATTCTTTCCTTTATGAATAGGAGAATCATTTTATGAATAATACATGATTGATCACTATTCATTACTGTTTATTTTCTTTCTTTCTGTCTCTTTCTCTACTCTCCTTATGTTCTATTTCTTGGGTACGATTCACGGGCAAATCAGGATTCAACACATATATTCTAACATAAATTAAATGTATATGTATATTATTTTCTTATTTCATTATCATTTTGTTACTTGTAGCTTGTTTACCCATTGCTAGAGTATTTAAGAAGTTCAAACTTATTATTTTTAGCAAGTTTTATCTACAGGGGCATTCGAAGATAATTCACCAAACTATGTCAGCAGCTATATAGCAAGATTATGATACTGATAATTTACAACAATATGAACTTGTACTTTTTTGCTCTGATTTTCTTCTTAATGGGATATAAATATATAAATAAACATATAAATATTTCACTTCACACCATTTCCTTGAATGTCCTACATGTGTATTTCATTATTAAAATTTTTTTTTTTCTTGCATCATGACTGAGTTGTCCACTACAGACAAGACTGCAGGCTCAAGCTGCTGGAATTCCGTACTACCCAACAAAGAACTGTATTGGAGGGCATAAGGCTTCCCGAAACACTAACTTGGTATGTTGCATGATGTACACTATTATTATTTTTATGTATTTTTTTGTAATTAATTTTCTCATGAAAGTAACTGGAAACTATAACTGGGAAAGATCTTGACCATGCTGCAATATGATGATTTTTGTCCAAAAATGTTGGAAAATTTCTTACAATTAATGACGATAAAAAAGAAATATGAGTGTGGACAAGTTGTCAAGATGGACAATTATTATGCAGCTGATAATCTCAATATAAACTTGGAAATGAATGCTTATTAGGTCAGAACCAAACATTTTTTTAGGAAGATGTACATGCACACCACTCAATTCTTTTCTATTTACATATCTAACGCCTAAACAATAATTTTTACATGCATGCCACCTTCCCTATGCATAAAAAGGTGTATTTCACTTTTTAGAAGTTTGAATGGCGTTATCTTTGATGTGATATGATATATTTGGTTGGTATTAATGTGAAAAAGTAAGGTTTAGGTCTTAGATACATAAGAATTGGGTGGTGTTTATGTAATGCCCTATAAGTTAAGATTAACAATTTAGCTTTACATGTATCTCTATAAGCGTGCTTTCTCAGAATTTGCTTGAACTCGTCCATGTTGTTTGTTTTGTTATTTTTTCCTTTATGCTTCCTTCCTCGCTACATGTTCCTTTTCGTTAACTCCGTTGAAAAGTTAAAGGGGGAAGTCTACCGTCTTCTTTTTCCCCCTATTTTTTTGCTAGAGGTTATGGTTTTTCTGTACAAGATACATTTACTTTGGACTTAATTATAATTATGTTGGAATATGCTGTCTAGATGTTCTCAGATTTCAGATTTCCTCCTTCACGTAATTGTGATTGTTTATCAACGGCGGAATCAGCGTCTTCTCTTGAATGCTCTCGATATAAAGGCACATTTGATGTACTATTCAAAGTGGCCAGACAAGTAGGTGTTAATTTATAATGGATATTAGTAGATTATATACCTTTTTTAATGTAATTTTAGTATCTAGTTTTTAGTTATCTTAGAATATGCAAATACTGCTGCTTCATCATATCTGTTTTTTTCCAGGAAGGCTATTCGAGGTTGTGGAGGGGAACAAATGCTAGCCTTGCTCTGGCTATACCGACAGTAAGTTTGTGTAGCGACAGAGATAACATAGTGTCACTTTGATGTCTGTTAACATCTCCTGCAACTATCTTATTTTGGGAAGATTTACATATGTACCACTCAATTCTTACGTATTTAAATATCTAACTTTTAAACCTTAATGCTTACATACGTGTCACTTTACTTATGCATGAAAAGTTGTATTTAATGTTTTAAAAGTAAAAATGGGGGTATTTTGATGTCATATGAAATATTTAGGTCATAAATGTAAAAGTAAAGTTTAGTCAGATATAAAAATACATAGGGAGTGTGTGGTATGAATGTAAATGTCCCACATTTTAAGGTTTATCCTTTTATTCCTGAAGTTCCTTTTTTTTAAGGTGACGCTGCATTGGCTATTTGGTGACTTCTTTAGCCTTGTGAATGATGATATGAAGGCTTATCAAGTTAGTGATTTGTTTAATAGTGATTCATGAATGATGATATTGGGCTGTCATATGCAACTTGTGTAACATTTCATTAATACAGTTATTTATAGTGCTGCAGACACTGGCATAGTTAAGTTTAATCCATCACTGCATATTTTATTGACATGTGTGATCAGTTCTCAAATCCTGCGGTGTATTAGGCATTCTATTTGTTAACAAAGAATAATAGTCTAAGAAAAAAAAAAGTTTTTTCTTTTTTTAGGTGAAGTTTAATAATACTTGGTGTGTTAGGCCATTTCAGTTTTTTTTTTGGGGCATTTGCATACATACCACCCGATTCCTATCTTTTTGCACATCTAACATCTAAACTTTACTTTTTTCATTTATACCACCCAAATTTTTCATATCACACGAAAAATATCACAATTTTAACTTTTAAAATGTGAAATATACCGTCTCAATTTTTACATCGGTAAGATTGCATATATATAAAAATTGAAGTTTAGGTGTTAGATATGTAAATACATAAAAGTTGAGTGATATGTACATAAATCTTCCTTTTTTTTCTTTTTTTTTTTAACTGCTTTCATTTTTCAGTTCTACTGTGCAGAATTTAATAACCACTTTGCCAGCCTTTACTCCTTTTTGGCTTGTTGACAGGTGGGCATATACTTACCATGTTATGACATATTCCGAAACTTTTTCGAAGAGTTTTCGACTAAATTCTCTCCGCATTTGGCTCCATATTCGCCCCTGATCGCTGGCTCAGCTGCACGCTCATTAGCCTGTATTGTTTGTTCTCCTATTGAGCTGGCAAGGACACGCATGCAGGTAACTGTGCCTTGTTCCTCCAACAAAGTCTCCAGTTTGATGTGAACGATTCTGGTTCCTTTCTTTTTCAGAAGTAAATCTCTTGGTGGGGAGGTCTCTGGTGAAGATAGGAAAATTCCTTGTACCTTGTGTACTGTAGCGGAATTAGAACAGTGGATTGGCGACATAAATAATTAAAAGATGTTGAGCATTTTAGTTAAAAACTTTCATCTATCTAAATTTTTAAATGTATTATAAATATTATTAAATAAATTAAAAATATAATTAATACTAAATTATTACTAAGTATTTAAATTTTATTGAGTCAAAATTTTCAATATATTATATGATATTAAAGAATTTAGTAAAAATCTATGGGTGGCGAGTTCCTACCCCTGTCACTACTTGTGTATGATAGTTTGGCATGTGGAATTGCTTGATTGCTTGGATAGTGTGCTGTTTTTTTTGCTTTAACATGTCATGAGGAGAGTATCAGAATTCAATTTGATTGAATGGAGGGTACATAAGGCCGTTAAATAGTTGGGATAAGGATAATGGTGATATTGGTGTTATGCGAACTCCTAATCTTAGAGTTTTCCTAAATTAGGTTTTTTATCAAACTTTTCCTTTAAGCTGTATTTGGAAATCCTCATACTTTTTCTTGTTCTAAACCTGTAAGAAGTCAGCTTTGTTGAATAGTATCAGGTGTTAAATATTATAGACGTCTATTATTTTACCCTACTTAAGGGTAGTTTTGTCTTCTTACTTATTGTATATATATATGTATCTTTTACTCTTGTAAGGTGATCTTTGGTTGATGCAATTGAAACCCTAGCCACTTTTTCTCCATTGCAATTCGTTACATGGTATCAGAGCGAGTTCTGATCCAACGAGAAGAGTAGGGATTGTACCGTAGAAACTCCAGTCGAAAAAAGCCATTGCCACGCGTGATCGCTCGAAGTTCAACCGAAGTACCGTTCCTCTCTTTCAGTTTGCACAGATGTTGTTACAGTAGCCGCGCGAAAGGCACACTGAAGAGCGATTTGCGATCCCAGATTCGTCCCTATTTTCGCGCTCGGGATTGCGATTTGTGAAGCCTCCGTCAGTCGAAGCCTTGTTCCTCTCTTCTGTTCGCATATATCTTGCTACAGTAGCTGCGCTCAAGGAACCCTGCAGACTCCCTTCACCTTCTCTTGTTCGCACGAAGCCGCCAGTCGTGCAAGAGTTTGTCGATCCTTTCAGAGTCGATATCCCTTGTAGACCTCTTTATTGACTACGTTCGCCATCTTCACCAAAAATTATCGGCTGCGTTCGCCATCTTCACCGAAAACATCCCAATTTTCGATTTCGGTGTCATTTGCAGTATTTGCAGTCTCCAAAATCGCAACTCTTCAGGTGATCCATTATTATTGGTATTTGATCATTCCTTTTCTTTATTTTTTTTTTGTATTGATAATAGTAACTTTGACTGTTGAAAAAGATGACTCTTTAGTCTATTAGTGTGCAATTAAATGGACAAAATTACTCATATTGGAGTTATGTATTGAAGAATTTTTTGAAAGCAACAGAATGTGAGGTTATGTTTCTGGAACCTTTATTAAACCTATAGATGAAGAAAATGGAAAATATGAAGAAAGATTGGAAGTATAGAAGCAAATAATTCAAAAATAATCACTTGGATCAATAACTCTGTTTCACAATCAATCGGTGTTCAATTAACAAAATATGAAACTGCATTTATCCCTTTCAAATGTCTAATATATCCCCAATCTTACTTTGAATCTTGTTTCTGTTGGTCAATTGTGTCACTCTGATTTCTTAGTTTTACTTTCTTCAACCTCTTGTTATGTGCAGGATCCGCAATTCAGGAGGCTCAATCTCTTGTTATGTGCAGGATCCGCAATTCAGGAGGCTGATTGGGACAGGTCGTAGGCAAGGGAGACTTTAAATTCTGGATGAGCTAAGACTTCTAGATTTTGCAACTTCCAGTGTTGACCTATCATCATTTTGTTTGAGTTCATCATCTTCTAAATTTTATCTATGGCATTCTCGTCTTTGACATGTCTCTTCTTCTCGTCTAAAATACTTAGTTTCTTTTGGAGTTTTGGGCGAGTTAAAAACTCATAATATTTCTGAATGTTGTGGCTGTAAACTTGCCAAATTTTTTGCTTTACTATTTTCTAAAAGTGTTTCACTTTTTGTTGCACCTTTTAATTTGGTTCATTCTGATGTATGGGGTTCATCACTTGTTCTTACCAAAGGTGGATCTAGATATTATGTCTCGTTCATTGATGACTATATTCGTTCTTGTTGGATTTATCTTATGAAAAATCGTTCTGAATTTTTTAGTGTTTATCATATGTTTCATGCATTTATTAAAACTCAACATAATGTTGTTATTAATTGTTTTCAATGTGATCTGGGAGGTGAATATACCTCTACTAAATTCTTTGAATTACTTGCCTCTGATGGGACTTTACTTCAAACTTCTTGTACTAACACTCCTGAACAAAATGGAGTTGCTGAAAGGAAACATTGTCCCATTGTTGAAACTGCTTGTTCCCTTTTTTTGTCTAGCTCTGTTCCAAGTGAATTTTGGGGGGAAACTATTCTTACTACTGCTATATTATTAACAGAATTTCATCTTTTATTACTTCTGGGTTGTCTCCCTTTGAAAAATCATATGACCACGCTCCTGATTATTCTGCTTTGAGAGTTTTTGGTTCTACTTGCTTTGTTCTTCTTCTTCATGTACAACGTAATAAATTGTCTTCGCGTCCGGCAATATGTGTTTTTCTTGGCTATGGTGATGGTTAGAAAGGATATCGTTGTTATGATCCTGTCACTCAAAAATTTTTTGTTTCGCTTCATGTTGTATTTATTAAGCATATATCATTTTACTCCATTCCTCCTCATAGACTTTCAAAGTCTGATATTGTATCAATTGATCCTTTTCACACAGATACTGATATTGCACCCCTTCATGTGATTCATCATCCAAATAATTTTGATATTGACCTTTGCAGGGTTGACACTGGTAGTTCTGCAGATCCTATTGCTCCCCCTATCTCTACTGTCCCGAAGAACTTTTTGGTTGTTCTGCAGATCCTCCTTCCTCGTTACCCTCAACGTGATCGTAAGTCTACTAAATTGACAGATTTTGTTTACTCCACCTATTCTACTTATTTTGCTTTCTTTTTAACCTCCATTCATAATTTGTCTGAGCCTTCCTCTTATCAAGAGACTGTTGTTGACTTCTTTAGCAACAAGCTATGACAAAAGAACTTTTTGCTTTGCACAAGACAATTACTTGGGACCTTGCCTCTCTTCTTACAGGAAAACGTGCAATTGGTTTTCGTTGGGTGTATAAGATTAAAACCAAGTCTGATGAGTTAGTTGAGCGATATAAAGCTCGTTTGGTTGTTAAGGGACTTTCTCAACAGTATGGTCTAGATTATGAAGAAACATTTGCTCTTGTTGCCAAAATGACTATTATTCGTATTATTCGTACTCTTATTGTCGTACTCTTATTGCAGTCGCATCTATTCATCAGTGGAATATCTCTCAAATGGATGTGAGAAATGCATTCCTAATTTTTGATCTTCAAGTGAAAGTTTAAATGGTGCCTCCACCAGGTGTCTCTCATAATCATGGTGAAGTCTGTAAATTAAAGAAAGCTCTCTACGGCCTTAAACAAGCTTCTAGAGTTATGGAGATGGCCAGAAAGGATATCGTTGTTATGATCCTGTCACTCAAAAATTTTTTGTTTCGCTTCATCTTGTATTTCTTAAGCATATATCGTTTTACTCCATTCCTCCTCATAGACTTTCAAAGTCTGATCTTGTATCTGATCTTGTATCAATTGATCCTTCCTTTTCACACAGATACTGATATTGCACCCCTTCATGTTATTCATCATTCAAATAATTTTGATATTTAACTTTGCGGGGTTGACACTGGTAGTTTTGCAGATCCTATTGCTCCCCCTATCTCTACTGCTTCCGAAGAACTTTCTAGTAGTTCTGCAGATCCTCCTTTTCCTGGTTACCCTCAACGTGATTGTAAGTCTACTAAATTGGCAGATTTTGTTTACTCAACTTATTCTACTTCTTTTGCTTTCTTTTTAACCTCCATTCACAATTTGTCTGAGCCTTCCTCTTATCAAGAGACTGTAGTTGACTTCTTTAGGAACAAGCTATGGCAGAAGAACTTTCTGCTTTGCACAAGACAAATACTTGGGACCTTGTTTCTCTTCTTACAGGAAAACGTGCAATTGGTTTTCATTGGGTGTATAAGATCAAAACCAAGTCTGATGGGTTAGTTGAGCGATATAAAACTCATTTGGTTGTTAAGGGACTTTCTCAACAGTATGGTCTGGATTATGAAGGAACATTTACTCATGTTGTCAAAATGACTATTATTCATACTCTTATTGCAGTCGCATCTATTCATCAGTGGCATATCTCTCAAATGGATGTGAAAAATACATTCTTAAATTTTGATCTTCAAGAGAAAGTTTAAATGGTGCCTCCATCAGGTGTCTCTCATAATCATGGTGAAGTATGTAAATTAAAGAAAGCTCTCTACAACCTTAAATAAGCTCCTCAAGCTTGGTTTGAAAAGTTCTCTATTGTGATTGCATCTCTTGGCTTTCATTCTAGCTCACATGATACTGCCTTATTTCTCAAGATTACCTCCCATGGTCGTATCATACTCTCTTTATATGTTGATGACATGATTATTACTGGGGATGATGATAATGAGATTGCAGAGTTGAAATTACAATTAGCTCAACAATTTGAGATGAAAGATTTGGGTACTCTTCGATATTTTTTTGGAATTGAAGTTGCCCATTCTCCTAGAGGTTATCTTCTTTCCCAATCTAAGTTTATTGACACCATCCTTGAACAAGCTCGTCTCTCTGATTTTCGAACTGCTACTCCCATTGAGCTTAATGTTCATTATACCTCTTTTGATGGTGTTCCTTTGTCGGATCCAACCTTGTATCGTACACTTGTTGCAGCTTGGTATATCTTACCATTACTAAACCTGATATTGTTTATGTTGTACATGTTGTTAGTCAATTTGTTGCTTCTCCTACGACAGCTCATTGGGCAGCTGTTCTTCGCATTCTTCGTTGTCTTCGGGGCACTCAATTTCAGAGTCTCCTCTTTCCTGCATCTTCTTCCTTAGAATTACGTGCCTACTCAGATGCTAATTGGGGTGGTGATTCCACTAATCGTAAGTCTACCACAGGATTTTGTTTTTTTCTAGGAGATTCTTTTATTTCTTGGAAGAGTGAGAAGCAAACATTTGTCTCTCGGTCTTCCATCTAAGCTGAGTATCGTGCCATGACATCCACCACTGCAGAAATTGTTTGGTTGCGCTGATTACTTACTGATATGGGTGTCTCTTTCTCTAGCCCAACTCGTATGCACTGTGATAACAAAAGTGCTATTCAAATTACCCGCAACTTGGTTTTCCATGAGCGCACCAAATATATTGAGATTGATTGTCATGCCCGCAACTTGGTCTTCCATTAGCGCACCAAACATATTGAGATTGATTGTCATTTTACTCGCCATCACTTTCAACATGGCATCATCACCTTACCCTATATTTCCTCCTCCATGCAACTTGTTGACGTGTTTACCAAATCGCATTCTACTCAACACTTTTGTTTTTTGACTAGCAAACTCTCGATGATTTCCCTTGATGCATAGTGAGTTTGAGAGATGATGTTAAATATTATAGACGTCTATTATTTTACCCTACTTAAGGGTAGTTTTGTCTTCTTACTTATTGTATATATATATATATATATATATATATGTATATATCATTTGTAAGGTTATCTTTTGATGCAATTGAAACCCTAGCCACTTTTTCTCCATTGCAATTCTTTACATCAGGTTCATCCAAGTGGCATCTGATGGGGCTGAATAGGCCTTTGGATCTTTTGAAGGAGACGAGACCAAAGAACTGTTAAATTAAAGTTTAGTAGAACTTTATGGCCTGATATCAGTCTCAAATGCATAAAATTTATTTTTAAAAGATTTGCCAAATCTCAGGTTATTGTATAGAATATATTGCATTATTTTCTGGATTTTTTCATTCTTCTTAGGCAGGCATCTTGGCTTTAGACAAATTGGCAACTTTTCAAGCCTTTGTATTATGTCAGTGTAAACCGTTGATGCAATTTTCAGTTTAGTTTTGGATAGATGTAATAATATTTTCGCCTGCAATTGATTATAGGCATTCAGGGAGCTTCAAACAGGACAAAAGCCTTCAGGAGTTTGGAAAACTTTACTTGGTATTCTATCACCGGCAAGTACAAAATATCCACAAAACAGTACGTAATTCCTTTTATTTTATGAACAATGTTGTGCTTTTCGATAGAATATGAAAGAAAAGGGATAAAATCAGCTTTATAGCCCCATAGTTGCTGAACCTTACAGTAAAAGTTTTATATTTTTTCAATATACTAAGACTAATTGGAAGGACTAATAAATTAGTACTAGCTGACTTATAATCAGAATGATTCAGTATTATATTCCATCACCATTTCAAGATATCTATCTTTTAAAAACTACATTGTGACAGAACTGGTCACTGTAAACAGTTGGCGGGTATGGTGTCCTATGGATGGGCGTTGGGGCTCAACTTGCTCGTGATGTTCCATTTTCTGGCATCTGCTGGTCCATTCTTGAGCCGGTCAGGTTCTGTTCTTGATTCTTTATTGCCATATTCTTTCATTGCCTTCCGGTTTCTTTGTTGTCTGTTAACCATAATATTTTGATAAATAAATAGTTAAAAAGTCCCTGAATTTTTGCAGACTGCATTTTAGTTTCAGTCTATAAAAGTGCTATTTTAATCCGAAACTCCTTTAACAGCTCCAATGTAAAGAATTTGCGGACTAATTTGATATTTTCATTGAATCGGGGACTAAAATGACCTCATGTGAGTCATCATTTGATGTGCTTTTTTCACAAATCAGATTAGGAGAAGTTTACTAGAGCTACTTGAGGATGAAGGCAGTCCAATTACCATTCTGGGGGCCAACTTCACAGCTGGTTTTGCTGCAGGGAGCCTTGCAGCGGCAGCTACATGTCCTCTAGATGTGGCTAAAACCCGAAGACAGATACAGGTTTTCTGCCGGAATTTGGGCTTTCATGTAGTTTTCAGTTTGTAATATTAATTGCCAATAGTCCTTTATCCTTCTGCATCTGCAGCGTTTTGATATTTGCATCCTGTTTTTTGAGCTATTTTATGGTTTGCTGAAGTTTGATTTTGATCTTTGTAGTGTTACCTGAATTGACAATTTAATCTTGACAAAATTTTTTTATTAATTAATAAGATTTAAATGCTTTGCAGAAGGACCTGACAAGATTACGGAACAGCAATACGTGGAGAATTCTATCGGATGTTTGGAGGTATGCAGCTCAACCTTCACAGTGCTAAATGCATCTGATATACGAAATTTTTACTCTCAAAATTATACACAAGTGAATATATAGAATCCAATTTAGTACAACTTATGAAAATTTACATACATAGCACACAAGTCTTATGTATTTACATATCTAACACCTAAACTTTCATATTGACATGCATAACACTTTGGTAAGATAAATGTATGCATGAAAAGTTGTATTTCACTTTTAAAAAGTAGGTAATAGTGATATTTTTGATGTGGTATTAAAGATTTGAATGCTATGCATATAAATATGAAAGTTTAAGTTTTAGATATGTACATCCAAAAGAATTGTGTGGTATGTTTGTAGTTGTGGAACATGGTTTAGGCATTACAAAATATATGCTGTCGGTGTGGTTTCTGCTCAGATTCATAAAATAGTTAAAATGTTGACCCATAATGGAATCTCAAAGGTCATTTCCAGAATATTTCCATTTACATTCGTGAATTACATAGTGATGATTGTTTGTGCTCAATGAGTGGAGCATCTTAAAAGATGTTGTTTTCGGACAATTTTCATGTAATATTTGGCTGCAGCATTTTTATTGTTTTAAAAAATTTTTATGATGAGAAATACTTTTTATTATTACATAAATTAGAGTGATGGCTTTAAATAACTCGTTGTTTTCTTGGCTGCAGCATTTTTATTGTTTTAAACAATTTTTATGATGAGAAATATTTTTTATTATTACATAAATTAGAGTGATGGCTTTAAGAAATTCTCTGACTTTTTCAAAAGGAAAAAGAATCTATATTACTTACATAATAGTTTTACAATTGCTTTACAGACAGTTGCAGGCGTCCCAAACGGATCCTTCATTTCTGTTGTGTGGGGCCTAGGAATTGTTTTAAATATTTATTTATAAAAAAAATGTTAGGATAAAACTAAGGAAAGTTTACATACATGCCTCTCAATTTCTATGTATTATATATCTAACTCCTAAACTTCAATTTTTACATGCTTGTCACCTTACTTATGCGTGAAAAGGTGTATTTCACTTGTTAAAAGTTAAAATGGTGGTATATTTGATGTGATTTGAAAGATTTGGATGGTGAAAGATTTGGATGGTGTTAATGTAAGAAGTAAAATTTAGGTGGTATATATATAAATACATAGCAATTAGGATTAAGACCACTAAGACATTAAATTAAGTCTCTCTCATTACGACAATAATGTTACCACAGGAGCAACGGGCTGAAGGGATTGTTCACTGGAGTTGGTCCTAGAGTCGGACGAGCCGGTCCGTCCGTCGGAATTGTTGTTTCCTTTTATGAGGTGGTTAAGCATGTTTTGCACAGAAGACACAAAAACTCATCGGAATTCATGGCTTAGGATGGTTCACACAACTCTTCTGTGTGTTCTCTCTCCTTGATGAACTGACATAACAACAGATTATAAAATGGATAGATCTTGCTCACAAGATCAGTTAGGTTGGCATTGAAAGGTATGCACGCACAATTTTATATCTCATTCAATAATTTAAACTGATTTATTTCATTTATTTTTGCATTAAATTGTATTTGTGGTTTAAATAATTTTCATTATTGCTTATGCCTATGAAATTTGTTTTGTAACCTTACTAAAAGGCTGTTTCAGTAGATGTGCAATTGAACTAGATGATTGTTATTCATTCATTTTTTTCCTTGAGCTTTGAATTTCTATTTGTTTTAATTAGCAGTAAATTTTCAGTTGTGTATTGTACAAACTTTTGCAGGCATCATGCTGTGATTTATATACATTGAATATTTTTTAGGATTATCTAATGATGAAAGAGTGAATATTAGCATAATATGGACATATGAATATAGAAAAATATACAATTTGATAAGATTCACTTGTGTTTATGTGGGCTCCAAAAATTCACGAGCACTCTCCAGAACAACTCTACAATTATTTTCATTTTGTTTTGAGAGAGCTTTGGAGGATCGAATTTCAGAAGGCGGATTGGATTGTAGATAAGACACTACTCAGAAATTTCATCCTCATTTTAGCAATGTTTTTTTAATCTAGGGTTTGAGGTTTCTTATAGGCGCAAACCCATATGGTTAATTATCCCTTTCAATAACGAGAAAGCACTTTCGATTAATGTTAGTTTTAAGAATTGAATATTCAATATACAATAACAACATACTTAAGATTTAAGTTGTAGAATTCATCACTTGAATCTTAAAGTGAATGGTGGGAGAATGAAGATGAATCCCGATCAAGATCTCATAGTTTCATCATTCTGGGTCATCGTGATCCCTGATCTACTTAGAGGAGGTAGTCAACCCTACTTGATAGAAGAATCCTTATAAACAACCATGAATTGCATTGTTCCTTGTAGATTCGGGCTGAATATTTGCCTAAAGGGACAGATTTATGTCGACCTTAGCTAATATGAGGCTTTGTGTCAATCAATTGTACCCCTTATGATTCCAATTCAAATAGTAGAAAGTCATTTGGGAACATACAGGGTGCGGTCGTGACCGTAATATAATGGTGTCATTTGGCGGCAACCACCCGGTCAGAGGGCTCTAATCATAAACGCATTTGACAGCAGAACCATGTGGACAGAAAACTCGGGCCATGTCCTTACTGACATGCAATTACTTTAATTATGAGAATATTGATACATTTGATATGACATTCACTCTTTTTGAGCCGAAATAAATCAGAAGTTTATCGTCCTCGACAAATTATTGTAGTGGGTGGAAGAATTTTGCTTTTAGCTTATAAGTGATTGAATTTTAGCTTGATTGTTTGGTTGGTTATTTTGAAAACTTGATTTAAAGGATTGACCCATCTGGTTGAAAAATTCGATCAACACAACCATCATCGGGGTATTAAACATTTAAAGTTTTTATATTTGAAGGAGACAGTTAATTTCATCTTTTTAGGGTATAAGTCCTGTCAACTCTTATTTTTATAGGTAGGAGGATCAGATTAGGTAATTTGGACCTGCAAATTTTATTTTAGGATTTGGACATTTTTTACGGTTTACTAGACTCGTTAACTTTAGTCCTTTCTAGGAGTATCAGACTAGTTAAGTAGGACTTACGACCCTATCTTATATATAAGACGACCTGATTAGCTGACGCAACATTCTCGAACCTAGTATTTGAATATCCTATATATTGGTTAGAGCACATTTCATATTTAATTTCATGTATTTAAGCTAGTTTAGTTGTAGCATTTGATGTTTTAAGAAATTTTACATGATTTATAGCATGTATTAAACCAAATAGCTTCAAAGAGTGCATCTTGAAAGGCTTGCACTAATATTGAGGTATTTTTCTTCAAATCAAATAGTGCCTTATCTTAAAATGACTGTGAATAGTAAACATCTTGATGGTCTATGTAATATTATGACTTTGCTTTGCACTCAAGTTTTCATTTTAAGCATTTTAAAATACCGTCTTCTATTCGCTTGTAAACATGTTGCGAATCTGGTGGTGGTGAATTTCTAATTTTCATATTTGAATTATGTTTCGTCCTTGGGAGCTCAAGTCTAAATAGTTCAAATTCAAAATATTTTTAAATCTTATGAGCTTAAATTTTAAAGTCAGTTTTCTAATATTTTTAAGGCCTTAAAGGGTTATATTTTAAAAGGCAAATTTAAAAATTTTAAAACCTAAAAATTCTAAAGTTTTAAAAGCCTGGCTTCCTGATATTTTAAAACCCTAAGAGCTTAAAATTTTGAAAGCTTGAGTTTCCAAATCATTTTAAATTTTAAATTAGTGATGTTTATTTCATTTGAAAGTCCAAAATTCCAATTATTTTAAAATACCTCCCAGCATCACCCCCCCCCTCACCGCATGTTCTCTGAGCAAGGGTTCACGAGCCAATATTCTCTGAGTGGTACTTCACTTTCCTCGAATGGTTCTCAATTTCTCATGGACTGATGCTCACTTTCTCACAAACAGATGTTTTAAATCTCCATGTTAAAAAGATATTCCAATTGAGTTCGTATCTTTCTCCGAACGGTACTTAATTTCCCCACGAGCAGCTTCTCACACTTACTCTAATGGATATTTTAAAAAAATTTCCCTGCACTGCCCCAAAATTATACCTTTCAGTGTTGCCGACGAAGATCTTCAACTCAACACGAAGTAAAAGTACAATGTAAGGTGCGGCGGTAACAGACCTCAGATACTAAAGAAGCGTGGATGACCTGTAATGTGAATGAGAGCTAGCGAACAGGAACAGTGAAATGGAGAAGGCGCAAACATCCATGGCTTCGGTCTTAGTGAGGGAAGCAGTTCCGAGGAGCTGGGTTGTGTGAAATGGGAGAGGCAAGATCATATGATTGGCTTCTGCGCAGGGAGGCGAAGGTAATGGTACAACACTGTGCGTAGCTTCATTTTGGGAGAAGGAAGCGAGCAGAGGCCTTTTCATGGCAGAACCCATTCCATCGAATTCCTTGCTTGTACTGTAACGCCTCACCTCTGCAGCAAACTCCTCGTACTCTTCATCCTCTGCCCAGTGCAGGAATATATCGGAAGCAAATTCTAATATGATTTTATCTTCTTCATTAATCACTCTAAAATTGTCGCCATCATGAATACTCTAAAATTTTTTATCACTCTATCAACATGTCCATTTAAATCTCCTCCAATAAAATTCTTTTGTCCCGAGGTATCATTTGTATTGATTCTTTTAGGTCATTCATGAATTTTTCTTTTGAGGAGTATAATGCTTGTAGAATGAAAAATCTTAATATCAATGACAGTCTTTAGGGTTATAATTCCATCTCCAACTCAATTAATTTTACAATATTAATTACACTTACACTATTTCTAGTATGTCTCCTATCTGAATAGCAAAGTTCAAAATCTAAGATATGAATCTCCTTAGTCTTTTCTTCAATTTATTTAGTCTTTTGAATGCATAAGATATTTATCTTTCTATGAACTATAATATCAACTAATTATATTAATTTATTAGTGAGAGTACTTATATTCAAAGATCTTATCATAATATTAGTTTCATGAACTAACTTTTTTACCCAGATTCGTCTATAATATGAGAATCATTGCTTATTTGACACTACACTCGGGCGTCACATTTTTCACTGTATTAGGTCATATAGCGTGTCGTTTCTAGGGAACACACCCTAACATTTACACAAAGATTCAAGGGATTCACATCATGATTTTTTTCGACAAATTTTACACTAGTTATACAGATTTTGCAAAGATAATAAATTAGTTATTAATAATAATAAAAAAAAAAATGATAGAATATTGTTATACAAGTCACTCGTAATAGATGCTATAATATTCAAGAGTGGACTAAAAACAATGATGTGGGATCTTTATCTAGACTTACTATCGTTGCATCCGAACATAATATTATGACTTTAGAAATGATATTATTGGAGCAAAATAATATTTTATTTTAATTAAAATATTCTAAATTTTAAATAGTTAAGATAATGAGTACTAGAATTGAAGCCTCACTTTTAATATTTTTATTATCATAATGATTTATCTTTCAATTTAATGGTCTTTCGCATTTATCCACCACAAATTTGATTCATATTCTTTTAATATTATGTCATGTTTAAAATTACACATGTGCCATACACTATACACTAAGATCCAAATGAGAGTGTTTAGGCACCATTTGGCTTACATAGCAACATTACAGAAGACTTAGAAAAGAAAAAAAATAATGCACTAATCTGATCAAATTGACAACCATAACAAACCTAAATAATTTTACATAATTAGGCATTTTAACCCTTTTAACCTCCTTCTACCCTTTACCTTACCTACCAATCCAAAGGGTGGATGAGGTAAGTGAGAACTAAGGCCACTAGCATTAGGATATAAGCAATCCCTTGGTCAATAGCTGTTCCTGCAATGAGTAAATAAATCATTTCACTTTCAGTAATAAAACAATGCATAATAGTGAACAATTTGATTTTGAGTTGATCCAATATCGACAAGAAATACAATATTTTAAAAAGAAAAAAAAAAAAAAAATCGGATATGAACGAGAATTTCAACCCTATGCATAGCAATCATAGCCACATGCTTGGCCAGTGTTTGACAAGTATTCTCTGTATTCTTAGTGTTAAGGTGAAGATGAATGGGTATCATAATTTTGCTATTTCAATGTGCTTTAACAATAGTTACTCTTGCCCAATACTTTTCAACTTTTGGTCAATGATGTGGTATCTTTGGGTTAATAGTTAGAGGCTTATTCACCACCACGAGTTGGCTAGATTAGCATAAGTACAAACAAGCTGACCTACCTAGTCAATTCTTGATTATGATAGACTTCTCTTTTTGTTAAGGCTTGCCACATTTGGTGCCCTTTAAAAAATTCTCTAACGCTTGGATCAAGCGCAAGCTAAAGAGTGGTTTTGAAAATAGTTCTCAATCAACAATAGACTCGATTAATGTTTAACTATTTGCATCATTACCCCAATTGCAAAAATCATGAGAGACTAATCTCTATCTTACATGATGAATAAACACAATTCAAACTAAGAATGAATATAACCCTCCTAAAATCTATAAGGCTTGATTGCATTCAATTAGAGGATTTTGAAGGAATTCCTATTGCTTTTGAGACAATTTCAAATCAACACTATGAATGGGTAGGAGTT